TACATTTCGTTTGCCCAAACGCATAAACAATCAAATCCTCGTATCGTATCGACCTTCCAGTGAGCTTCACCAGATCTTTCTTGTAATTCATCACTCGCCTGACCGGGATATAGCAGAACAGCGCGGTACCAATCACTATCATAAGAAACCCGAGGAGTCGCACCAAGAAGAATACGTTCATTCGACCAGCGCAACCGAGAGAGTTCCAAAACAATGCTTTGTGCAAGAGTTCCTGTGTCTTTTATAAAAACCTGCTTCCGAAAGACATGCAAATTTTTACGACGAAAACCAAAAGATTCTACGTCAATGCAAAGTCGATCCCCACTGTTCCAGCTAAAATTTTTATAAAGCTGCCAGTTAGGGCACCAAAACATTCCTGTTTGGATTTCTATGCGTTTCTGCTGTGCAGCGCTATAACACTGCTATAACGAGCAATAACACAAATTGTCGAGAGGTCGTCTGTGTGTGCATATGTTGGGAAGCGAGTGAATCTTATCACCCACTTTCATCTCAGCAACCAGGAAAGCTGGGAGATACACATATGTTGGGAATTCTCAGTAACATCACTAACATGGGATGAACACTTTGAACTGCCAGGTACGGTCTTAATATTCTTCATATATATGTGTGTGTATAAATGCGACAGCTAGTACATATTTGTAACAAAAACTTTACAATTAACTTACATATCAAACATATTCACAATAACAGCTTTACAATTAATTATACATCAAAAAACATAATACAAAAGCTTTACAAACAATTTACATTTCACAAACAAATATTAAAAACTTTACAATTAAACTTCACATTACAGCCGCAACAAAACTTCGAGAAAATTAGTAACTTATAAAACTTGTAACTTGAAAAAAATTGGTAAAAATAATCAGTAAAATAACTACTATACACAGTAGCAACAATTCATACATTCTAAAACACTAAAATATAATCACAGTAGTGGAGAGAAGTGCCAACGTCAGCACTTCCCTCCGAACCTCTCGCCCACCACCGGTCTCTTCCTCATCTCGCATTTTCGCAAACGCTCGTTCGCAGTACCGTCTTCTTCATTAATCTGAAAAAACTGTGCTTCAGCAAAGAACAATCGAGAAGCCGAAGTGCTAATTACGCTGCGCAAGCGATTCTTAAAGCGATATTCAATAAAACATATTTAAGCTGACTGTGCTATTTATTACACAGCTGTCAGACAAGAAAGGGTTTTTACTACATCCTGTACCCAAATTTTTTCTTCTCAATCCATACAATGGTCGAGAGGAGGTGTTTCGATATCAAACCGGTGAATCAATGTGTTCTTC